CAAACACAGGGGAACACGCAACACACAGCACAACACACAGAAACATCACAACACAGCACAACACAGAACATATACAGCACAACACACAACACACAGCACAACACAGAACACACAGCACAACACAAAGCACAATACATCAAAATACACAGTACAACATATCAAAACACAGCACCACAACACATCATAATACACAGGACAACACGCAACACAGCGCACAACACACAACACACAGAGAACATCACGCAACACAGCACAACACACAGCACAGACAGCACAACACATCAAAATACACAGAACAACACATCAACACACACAGCACAACACATCAAAATACACAGCACAACACATCAAAACACACAGCACAACACATCAAAATACACAGCACAACACACAAAACACAGAGCACTATACACAAGACACACAGCACAACACACAAGACACACAGCACAACACACAAGACACACAGAAACACACATGCAACAAAATGCACAAATATACGATACAAGACACGCACAGGAACACACAGGAACACGCACACGGAAATGCGCTCATGTCAAGCCATAACATACACATAAATACACACATATGAATACACATAACACAACAAAACACAACACAAACTCATACACCACAAAATACCTCACAACATACAAGAGACACAAACACACACAAGACAAATCAGACACATCCCACACAGTATTCACACAGACAGATATAGCTCAACACAACATACCAGAGACACACACACACAAGACAACTTAGACACATCCCACACAATATTCACACAGACAGATATAGCTCAACACAACATACAAGAGACACACACACACACACACAAGACAACTTAGACACATCCACACAATATCCACACAGACAGATATAGCTCAACACAACATACAAGAGACACACACACACAAGACAACTTAGACACATCCACACAATATCCACACAGACAGATATAGCTCAACACAACATACAAGAGACACACACACACAAGACAACTTAGACACATCCCACACAATATTCACACAGACAGATATAGCTCAACACATCATACAAGAGACACACACACACAAGACAAGCACACACACATCCCACACAATATTCACACAAACAGATATAGCTCAACACATCATACAAGAGACACAAACACACACACACACATCCCACACAATATTCACACAGAAAGATATAGCTCAACACAACATACAAGAGACACATACACACACACATCCCACACAATATTCACACAGATAAATATAGCTCAACACATCATACAAGAGACACAAACAAAAAGACACACACACATCCCACACAATATTCACACAGACAGATATAGCTCATCACAACATACAAGAGACACATACACACACACACACACACACACACACATTAAGGATTGTGCCTTTGTCTGTTTTATGCTATCACAACATTTAAAGAAATAACAACTGTAAAAGCAACGATTCTCTTAAAAGAAAATGCATTCAGACGTATTCTGTATTGCAATACATTTTACTATACGCCAGTCTTAAATAGATATAGAGAACTGGGATACCATAAACATATTATAATCGCTTGTTGATACATTTGATTATTTTCTCCATCTGTAATCACTGCTCATATTTTGTTAACGTCTTAGAAACAACAACTGTAAAAACGAGTCTGTCATCGTTGACAACAAGGGTAACACCAGAATCAAAAACAACGAGTCTGTCATCGTTGACAACACCAACATCAGAATTAACATCCCACTTCACTGCTTCGGCTGGTGTCCCTGGCTCTACTCCTGACGCAACTACTGAGTCGACAGCCCCTGACACGGATACAAGCAGTGCTGGGTATAAAACGGAAAGCAGAACCCAGGACTCGGTAAATCCCCAAACACCATCTGTGACTTCCATGACAACCATCCTAGGTGGAACTGTTGGTGGCGCCCTGGTCCTACTGGCTGCTATCATCACCGTCTGCTGTTTACTTCGGTCAAAGAAAGACAAACAAAACAATGGCTGTAAGTACTGTATTGTGTACCAGGGAGTGATGGAGCGAGTTTTGTTTAATGATGCTTCCAAAAGGATTTCACAGGTTACTTGAGTTTCATATGAGGTGTATGGGTTGTGTCCAACGCCACTTTTAGCAGTGTTCAAGTTGTTTCACGTCGTGTCAGCTTCATGTGTGTGTGCGTGCGTGTGTGCGTGCGTGTGCGTGTGTGTTTGTGTAAGTGTGTGTGAGAGGCCGAGGTCATGTCTGTCATGGAGGTCATGTCTGTCATGGACGTTTATCACTTTGGTGAGTACAGGTACTGTCACACCTACACATTTTAGGGTGAACATCTAGGATTCGGACCCACAATTCTGGGTTTCACAGTTCCGAGATCTAGTGACACAACCCTGCCACCAGTGCCACCTTTAAGTAAGAGGCAGTGCAGGTAAATGATGGAGGTGTGAATGTCAACGAGGTGTGGGAAAAGTGATTGATGTGTTTTGGTTTAATGCTAATTTAAAATGGATTTCAATTTTATCAGTTTGTCAGATTATTGTGGATTAAGGCCTCAAGTTATGTATGTCTTAGACGTTTTCCACTACGTTGAAACCGAGCTCAGGCTTCCGCCGACGTTCCACAGGCTCCTTGAATGCCAAAGGGCCGTAATTCTGCACTGCGAGTTAGGGTGGATGCCAAATATAGATTATGTCATCGTTCACTTTGATTAACCTATTCTCAAATTTCAGCATCGCTATACACTTCCCCTGCTACTAACACTATCCGTTTCCCCATTTATTCAACAGTGTATAAATAGCTTATAAAAGAGAAACCTGTAAAGATAGTAATTCAGTACTGATGATCTCTGTCTAGTGTTGTTCTGTTCATATTTCCTCAGCAGCTCAGGAGCCTGTCAATGGGGATCATAGGTATGTATACGGATATCTCTTAATTCTCAGATTATGGAAAGAACGAGGAATTAAAGTGACACTTTACAGTTATGGCATGAAACTGTTGTCGCTATTGCTGTTTTTCACAGGTGACAATACGAGTATCAGTACAGTACAACGAAGGTGGGGAAATAGGGATTGATAAATATGGAAGGATTTGCATGTTATGTAAAAGTGGTATAGATAATAAAATCGACTTTGTCTTTACATGACTTACTCTTGATAAACTGCAAGTAACATCCAAGTGTGTAATTTGCTCTGTATTTTGTTTACTCTGTATGTGCCTCAGAAGCATACAATACAATAAACTTCTTCTTCATCTTCTTCTTCTTCTTCAACAATCAACAATTGTAAGAAATAACGTATTGAAAAATATTGCATATCCGAATTGGTGTTATAAAGCATGTAACATTCGATTGTGTAATTTACTCTTATTATTGTTTATTCTATATGTGTGCCGCTGGCCTTCTTCTCCTTCTTCTTCTTCTACAGACAGTCAAAGTATTTTATCTTCAGCCAATGGATAATAATGCCTTCAAACGCGGATGAGTTTAGCGCCTCTTCAGCATTCAGTAATATCACGGCGTGTAATCTTGATGTGGTTGGAAAGCCGAGTTGATGTAGGCATTTGATGTATACACCTTGGGTGAAACCCACGACCGGGTGCAAACTGATTACCTACCTTCACACACAGGATTCGAACCCTTGATCAGACATTTCTGACAAAATGGAGTGTGGCACCTTATACGACCTGACCTACCCATCTGTTCAGTAAAGAACATACAATCGAAATTTAAACAATGGTTCAGAAGGATCTCTACCCAAAAGGAAATTAATACTTTTATGAGCTATGTGTCGTTTTCACTGTTCAGATTTAATTGAAGTGGTCCGATTATGTATGTGGCGAAACCCTGAATTAAAGTAATCGTACATTTCTAACTTATCAGACATCAAGATCCCGAACAAAGAGAAGATGCTGGTGAGTACATACTACTATTAAACCTTTTGATGGATTTAAGAAAACTAGCATGAGGAAGAGATTTTTTATGGATGTCAGCTTCTTTATTGTGGGGTGAATGAATGGTATGAAGCAGAGAGCATATATATGTACATGTACAACAAAAGTAATAAGACAACAAACATAATGGCTAAACAATGGATGGCCTATAAATATAATCCTGGCTACCAGCTGTACACTGTTCATCACCAATCAACACTAATTAACTATTACGTGTTGGTTTCCATTTATCCTTTGCCAATCACACATCAACGCCAGTAAAGTTTTGGTTTCCATTGCGTAGCCATTTATATGTGTATCACTTCTAAATGCCATTCAAAGACCTAATACTAGTATGTATTTGATTATATGTAAAAATAGTCAATAAAACATTTCCTTTATACTTTTTTTTTCTCCTCTGTTGTCTAACGCCAGTTTGTTCAGGTACATTTTCCCATCCCCTTTGCAGGGATGGTTGACAACGTCCTCTATGACAGTTACGGTGGAGACGTGGACAGGCAGCTAAACACCAGGGTGAGTCTATGGCATAGATTACAACAGATGGAAGTGCTAGCCTCGTGGTCAAAGTGCTGGCTCTTCAAGCCAAATACCAGGTTCGATTCCTCACCCCACCACAGGTGCAAGATTGTTTCAACATTGATAAGTAGTATCCGCCCCATCCCGTCATAATGTTGCTTGACTATTGTCAAACGGGAGTAAAACTCAACCCACTCAATTAATGTGTCATCTGAATTTATGTTTGTCTATATGTTTAACAGATAACTGAAAGCGACAAAACCCTATCATATATTACGAATTCGAACCACCGAGTTTTCACTCTCTTATAGAGCCACTATTATATGAATTTCACAAACGATGAGCAACGAGACTATGTTGGTTAAATCCTTCATGCATCATATATTCTTTTCTCCTCTCTATCTATCAGATGTCTGATGTCAGTCTCTGAACCTTGTCACCATCTTCGGGACATTGACACTGATCCATGTGTAACCATGTACTTCTGGCTCTGTGTATTTCCTATGTCTTGGTGTAGTACTTGGTACTGTCTCCGTCAGATCCCCTGGTGCTCGCTGGTAGATCTCAACCTGACAGTGTGGTTGGAGACATATATGCCATCCCGGATAAACAACGAACATCAACACTGAATGCTGAGTCCCCTGATAGATCTCAACTTGACAGTGTGGTTGTAGACATATATGCCATCCCGGATAAACAACGAACATCAACACTGAATGGTGAGTTCCCTGGTAGATCACATCTTGACAGTGGTGTTGTAGACATATATGCCATCCCAGATAATCAACGAACATCAACACTTAATGGTGAGTCCCCTGGTAGATCTCAACCTGACAGTGTGGTTGTAGATATATATGCCATCCCAGATAAACAACGAACATCAACACTGAATGGTGAGTCCCCTAGTAGATCTAAACTTGACAGTGTGGTTGTAGATAAAAAATGCCATCCCAGATAAACAATGAACATCAACACTGAATTGTGAGTCCCCTGGTAGATCTCAACCTGACAGTGAGGTTGTAGACATATATGCCATCCCAGATAAACAACGAACATCAACACTGAATGGTGAGTTCCCTGGTAGATCTCAACATGACACTGAGGCTACTCACAAACTCAGAAAGGAAAGACAAATATTCCTGAATATTTATTGAATAATAATTTCCCTGGACAAGTTTTATGTCATGAAGGGATGTCCTAGAACCCCCCTGCAGTCATAAAACATATGTGTTCAAGCAGCGCTGAAGATGTACCAGAGTTTTAAGTGTTGGATGGCTGTCTGAAGGCCTGTTGAACTGACCAAGTAAAGCTAATCTTTTGCAACAAACGTGATACTAAAGTATATCGAATTCTTTGTATATCCGTTACTAGTAATGTTTGTGTAAATTAAGTCGACTTCTTCCTCGTAGAGGGGGCAGCTGCAGGTGATGTATACAGCGTGGTACAGAAACAACCCAAGTCCGAAGGTGAAACAATGCCACTCCAGTCAACGGACAAAGATGGTAAGTCAGGTCGTGTGTGAGAGAGGTCGTGAGTGATGTGTTGTGTGATGTCGTGAGTGAATGAGGTCCTGATTGAGTGAGTGTGGTTGCACTTTGTTTTCAACAATATTCCATCTGAACAAAATCGGGGTGAGTGAGTGAGCTTTGATTGATGTGCGCAATCTAGTAATATTCTAGCTATCTCACAGAGCATTATGTTAGTTATATCACAGAGCATTATGTCAGTTACATCACAGGACTCAATAATAGTTACATTAGAGGACATTATGTCAGTTATACCACAGAGCATTATGGTAGTTATACCACAGAATATTATGTCAGCTACATCACACGGCATTATGTAATTTATATCACAGAACCTTATATCAGTTATATTAATGGACATTATGTCAGTTATATCACGTGACACTATGTCAGTTATATCACAGAGTATTATGTCAGTTACATCTCAGGGCATTATGTAATTTATATCAGAGAACATTACATAAGTTATATTAATAGACATTATGTCAGTTATATCACAGAGTATTATGTCAGTTACATCACAGGACATTATGCAATTTATATCACAGAACATTATATCAGATATATTTATGGACATTATATCAGTTATATTAATGAACATTATGTCAGTTATATCACAGAGTATTATGTCAGTTACATCACAGGGCATTATGTAATTTATATCACAGAACATTATATCAGTCACATTAATGGACATTATGTCAGTTATATTAATGGACTTTATGTAAGATATATTACTGGACATTATGTCAGTTATATCACAGAGTATTATGTAAGTTACATCACAGGGCATTATGTCATTTATATCACAGAACATTATATCAGTTATATTAATAGACATTATGTCTGTTATATCAGAGGGCTTTCCGTCAGTTATATCACAGAGTATTATGTCAGTTACATGACTGGACATTATGTCAGTTATGTCACAGAACATATGTCAGTTATATCACAGGGCATTATGGTAGTTATATCACAGAGTATTATGTAAGTTATGTCACTGAACAGTATGTAATTTATATCACAGGACATTATATCAGTTATATTAATGGACAGTATGTCAGTTATATCACAGGGCATTATGGTAGTTATATCACAGAGTATTATGTAAGTTATATCACTGAGCAGTATGTAAGTTATATCACAGGACATTATGTCAGTTATAGCACAGAACATTATATCAGTTATATCACAGTACACTATGTCCGTTACATCACATGGCATTATGTCAGTTATATTACATGACATTATGTGAGTTATTTAACAGGACTCCATGTCTGTTATATCACGGGGCATTATGTCAGTTAGGGCACAGGGCAGTTGACTCAGAGATTACATTGGTTCTTCGCGAGAGTAGTTTTCACATTTGGCATGTGGTATTCTAGTTTACTACCCGAGTGACCCCGGATTAGAACACGTCCTACGTAAGCCATGTTTATCATATGAAGCGACATCATAGATCCGGAGGCCTGACAAGATCTGTCTGCCATTTTACAGCTGGCGTTTACAGCAAACAAAAGCACTTGTGTTCACCAGCTACTGGCTGCACACATTGTTCGAATCCCGAGTCTGTGTGTCGAACAATGTCGTTTCTAAGGATTGTTCGGAACTTCACAGTACAATAGGTGCATGGAATACAATGGAATCGCGAAATGTCTGTAACTTCATTCTGCCACATGTTTGTATTCATACTTTTGTTTTATAGCTGAGATGTCCGAGCTGTACAGCCAGGTTCAGAAGCCCCAGAAGAACGGGAAGTGAGACACGAGTTGAAGACATTCGGCCATGTCCCATACAGTGGAGTACCTTTGTAGACTATACATGTGATGTATCATTTCAAAAGTTGATCCTTGTCGTTCGGGTCTTTCAACACCACGTGATCAGTCAAAAACAGTAAATGATTATTCAAACTTTCTACTTAAAACATGACGAAAGAAACGTTTTAATACATATTTTGTAAAAAAACTGTCCATAGATAACCCTATATTTATTGTTTCAATGTTTCTGGTACAGTTCTAGTCATTTGTTAACACTCTGTCGTATGATACATGTAGTGATGTCATTTTGTTGACACTTTGCTGTTTGCTAAACGTAGTATTGTCATTTGTTGACACTTTGATGTTTGCTAAACGTAGCATTGTCATTTTGTTGACACTTTGCTGTTTGCTAAACGTAGTATTGTCATTTTGTTGACACTTTGCTGTTTGCTAAACGTAGTATTATCATTTTGTTGACACTTTGCTGTATACTAGACGTAGTATTGTCATTTTGTTGACACTTTGCTGTTTGCTAGACGTAGTATTGTCATTTTGTTGACACTTTGCTGTTTGCTAAACGTAGTATTGTCATTTTGTTGACACTTTGATGTTTGCTAAACATAGTATTGTCATTTTGTTGACACTTTGCTGTTTGCTAAACGTAGTATTGTCATTTTGTTGACACTGTGCTGTATACTAGACGTAGTATTGTCATTTTGTTGACACTTTGCTGTTTGCTAGACGTAGTATTGTCATTTTGTTGACACTTTGCTGTTTGCTAAACGTAGTATTGTCATTTTGTTGACACTTTGCTCTGTGCTTGACTTAGTATTGTCATTTTGTTTGAACTTTGCTGTTTGCTAGACTTAGTAATATCATTTTGTTTAAACTTTGCTGTATATATACTAGACTGATGTATACGTACTCATACCTTGCCGATTCTGCGCCCTTAACGGTTTTGATCAACTGCGGCATTTGAAAAACTTGAATCAGTTCTTCTGAGATGCCTAAATGCACTTCCTGGCGGCCCTACAGAACAATAAATGATTTCTCATTAAAAAACAGTTTAGTTTATATTGTGATGTCCGAGACGAGGAAAACAGATGTATCGAGGAATTGTGCTATTTCCTTTCTGCCCAATACTGGATAACAAATGTGTCTATGGATGTTATTGACTGGTCAGAAAATGGACCACGTCGGCTGTCACCTTTCTATTACACTGATTCTGTTTGCCTACTGTCTTCTGTTTATCCCGATGCTCTCTGATACTGGCAGTTATGGTCCGATCATATATTGCTTCCTCACCAGCAATTTTACTCAGTGTTTTATTTGGTTCGACGACTCATGAAAGTCCGGGTTCGAATCGATCTTCAGCAACCCATGCTTGTCGCAAAAGGCGACTAACGCTGGTTCGCTGACTTGGTTGACACATGTCATCGTATCCAAATTGTGTAGATCGATGCTCATGCTGTAGATCACTGGACTGTCTGGCCCAGACTGGATTATTTACAGACCGACACCATATGGCTGGAATGATGCTGAGCGCGGTGTTAAACAACAACCAAACCAAACCAAACTCAGTTTGGTTCGACAGTTTTCACATTCTCCAAGGCTTCACCACTCCGAGATTCCAGAACGTCTCGTGCAGCAGAATGAGTAAATATTCAGCAACCGAATTTCCTGTCGTGTTTGCTGGGGCCTGGTAAAATACCGGCCTGGCATGACAAGCAGGTAATCAACAACGCCAGAGATGAATGGTGGAATTCCACCATAAATGTAAGGAGAGTCTCATAGATGATAGACTGAAAGAAATCCAACAGGCAGCGGAAATGGACATACATGAATATTTTAAGCTTACAAAAAGTGTAAACGAGCTACAGGTCTAGTAACCAGTGTAGTTTACAAAAATCATGCAGGCAATAATGCAGAAAATATCTGTAACACTTTTGGTCAATACTTCAAGGATCGATCTGTACCAAACATGGAAAGTAGCTTTGATAATCACTTTGCTAAAGAAATATGTAAATAGAAATATCAAATGTTGAATGTTTTGAGGAAAGTAAAAATATATGTGAAGGATACATGTATTCACCGTTGAATGAACTATTCACTCTCAGTGAGATTATAGCCATCGTCCAAAGATTAAAAAATATCAAAGCCCCAGGGTCCGATGGACTCGCTAACAAGCATGTCAACTATGCAGGTAGATCTTTAATAAAACATATCAGGATATTGTTCAACAGTATCAACGAGTACATTCCACAAGCTCGTCGATTCTATTAACGTCGATTCTTAGTAAACTGTTTGAAAGATTGCTCCTGAACATAATTGAAAAATGGTATCCCCACAACTTCCAATTTGGGTTTAGAAAAGTCTTCAGTGCTGAGACAGCAGCTCATACACTTATAGAAAGTATTGTATACTATAACGAAAAAGATTTCCTTGATAACGAGAAAGCATTTAACCGTGTTTGGCTTGACGGTCTCTTCTACAGACTCTACAATCTTGGAATTACTGGAAAACTGTGGCGGATACTATGCCTATCCTATAGTTCAATGCATTCATGTGTAAGTTTAGTTGTTTTTAAGTTTTAAGAAATGCCCAGAAATAGACTAGCTGATGACAGAACGTTTCTCACCAATAGTCCAACATATCTCCAAAGACTGTAGAAGGTGACTGAACTATATATACTCTCCCAAAAAAGAAACGCATATAGGAATTTCAACTGTATTTTTATGTTTATTTTGAAACATCTTGTAGGCTTTATGAGTCAATGAAATATATCGAAACTGCACAGTGGGAATGCAGACTTATCCGTCTTTGACACCAACTCGAGGAAAGGCAGTTTGAGTGTCACATGGAGAAGTGTGTTGGCGCTGAAGTCAATACCTCGTGTGACCATCGTGGGCATTCAGAACTGTACGGCATCGCCTCGGCATCGAACGAATTAGTCTCAGAATCTCGTGTTGCCCAATCGCAGCCCACTCTGCCTGTAGTGCCTGTGCGAGTTGCTGAAGTGTCTGGGGCTGAGGGTTATGACGACGCACCCGTCTGTCCAGGGCACCCCACATATGTTCGATCGGGTTTAAGTCCGGTGATCTTGAGGGACAGGGGAGCACATTGATGTTGTGGTTCTGGAGGAAGTCTCTAATGTGACGTGCTGTGTGGTGCCTGGCATTGTCCTGTTGAAACAACTCCCTCTGGCGATCAATGATTGGAAGGAGGTGTGGGCGTAGGATTTCTTCACAGTACCATTGAGCTGTCAGGCTGCCCTGGATCATCACCAAATCACTTCTCCTACGGCAGGTGATCGCTCCCCACATCATAACACTGTCCCGGCCGAATCTGTCCACCTGGGGAACGCAAGTTGGTGCACCATTGAACTCGATGTTGACGATGTTGTTGTCGAAGCACAGGGCCAAAATAAGGTCTTCTGGCACGTAAACCAGCCTCTCTCAACCTGTTCCTGACGGTCTGTGCAGAAAGCCTCCTCAATCTGGGTATTTGTCGAGCGGTACTGGTCGCCGTAGCTGTTCGATGACGCAGGTGATGTACCCGGATGTAGCGCTCCTGCGCCGCAGTGGTCGCTCGAGGTCGCCCACTACGAGGGGCATCTGCTACCGCATTCTGCCGGCGATAAATCTCCCAGAGCCGTGAAATCGTGCTTTTGGTGAACATTCCTGCGTCGGGCAACTGCACGTTGAGACTGGCCAGCTTCAAGCAAACCAATGGCGATATGACGGTTGGCTTCACTTAGACGTGGCATTTTGCGTTCGTCAACAATTTCCAAATACAGTGAATAATCGACAGACAGCGATCAACCTTTTATACCCATGATTGAGACTATCTGATCCCCAACTTTCACGTGCATTGCATGTGAATTGTGTATTCTGTGACACTCCACGCCGAAATTGAAAATCATGCTGTTAAATACGGGTATTTTACGGATGGTGCGTTTTGTTGTGATGTTTCAAAACATAAACACCATAGGACTCATAAACAGAGCAAAACCTTTTGTAAAATGAATCCCGTTTTAATTCATTGCTACATGAAATTGCTATTTTCGTGATGCGTTTCTTTTTTTTGAGAGTATATATGCAAAAACGTGGCCTCTAAAATACGCTGTTGGTTAAAGCGCTGCTGTAACCTTTGGATGCAGCAGAGCATCCCTACCTGCAAACCTGTATCTAGGAGAAACTAATCCCCTCATTAAATGGTCTGTAGTATATGCTGGAGTCCATATCAGCACTACTATGTGCTCTACGGAGAGAACAAAACTTGTCTGTGGAAAGCTAATACAAGATACAGCTTTAAACAAATGGTTTTAGCCCGCATTGGCCAATACCACTGTAAAGAATCACTGATATACAAGAATAAGTTTGATATGAAATCACCTGTGTTTAACATGTTACGGCTTGTTTCCAAATACAATCTGCTTAGTGAAATCCGTAACTACATTTGTGATTCTAAGTTTATGAAGAAAAATGCTTAGTCGCAAATAGTCAAAGATAAGGTAACTACATATGATCAAATGCAGTTGGTAAATGTACTGCAGACAAGGTTGTCTCTCTCCAGATACCTAATAATAAGATCAGGACGAAAACATAGACTATGGATACTCGCTTTAGAACGACCTCAGAACTTCACTGACATTGCGAGAATTATATGAGTGTAATCTTCATTTTATGGAGGAAATAAAGAACATCTATCTATCTATCTATCTATCTATCTATCTATCTAACTATCTGTCTGTCTATCTATCTATCTATCTATCAATCTATCTATCCAACCATTCATCCGTCCCTCCGTCCGTCCTTCCATCCATCCATCCATCCATCCATCTCTCCGTCCGTCCTTCCATTCATCCATCCATCCATCTATCTATCTATCTATCTATTCTTGCACTTTTTTATTTGATTCCCATGCGGGTCGTTGTTAGATGATATTTGAAAATGACCGTTAGTACATGAGTACTTGGGATGATAACACAGTTGACTTTTATTCCGCCGGCGTTCAAGTTCGTAATGCAGGATACATAACACCCAGACACACTCACACACAGAACAATGCTAGGCTAGTATTGTCTAACATGTTTCATTAAACACTTCCTCATTTCACTCCATGAAGCTTGCTAAATATGAGACCATGATACTTAGCTATTGAGGAGACATGTGAGTTTGGTCATCTGAGTAAGTGTCTCTTGGACCAGGACTATGGATTGAAGACTCGAGTTTCCCTGACGTAGACCGCAACAAACTCACGCATAGTGCCTCATGTGTCAACTACTAGGGCGGGGTATGCTCGCTGTGTCACAAGCGCCTAGTGCCATCGCTACTTTGTGAGGTGCCGTTGGCACATTCTGGTGGTGTGCTTGGACTGTGGAATTGGCCTTGTGGCTTATATTGACATAACGTTTTATGACTGAACATTGTCATTCCAACATCATGCGTTCTCGACAAGTACCTGTCTATTCTGGAATCTTGTTTTTGTCGTGTGTCTGGATACAAGGAGTGGACAGTACACCTAAAGAAATTACAGGTAGGTGACTTATGATAGTATCCGTGAGCGTGTTTGATGTTATTACATGTATATGACTAAATAGCTGATTTGTTGTGTTTGAATCTCTCCTGTCACTCGTGTACCATGTTCGTAAAGGTCTACGGAGAGATGAAATTGACTAGTCACCTGATGTGCGTCACGTACTTGTTTCAACTGTGAATTGTATTTGAATGTGTTCAAGGGATTCCAATCGGATTGTCAGTATGGTTGCATTGCTATTGGACTTCATTTCTGGCCATTGCCGCCTGTCTTAGTGGTAACTGTTATCGTTCAGTCTATAGCAGCGATAGTGACTCATTCTTAAACATGGTCGACATGTTCTTAAACAGCAAGTGGGTAAATGCAGGAACAAACATTACTCACATGCCAAGTGTGAGTGCGTGTTTATGTGTCTGTGTTTGTAAAAACAAAATGTGTGTGAAATGATTGTAGTGTCAAGTTTTAAAAAAAATGCATGTGTATTTTTGAGTTTGCGATGCGAAATTAACAGGATGAGAGTAGATTTGAGTATTACCGTTATATATAGTACTCCAACGTTTCTACCCTGCCATGGCAGTTGATTGGCTAACCGTTTATTATTCTGTAGTTGCGTATCCTATTCAGATTAAAAAAATAGGCTCGAACTAAGGACGGTGCAGGACCATTGATGACCCAGTCGCTGAAAGCGCCGCAATTAGCTGTGAAGAGTTACGTCCCTTGGGCACGCCAAAAACCTCTGATTGTTGTTTAAATTTGCGGTTCAGATGGTTTCATTTAGGATATTTAGGCCAACGGCCTATTGCCACATAGGCTATATAGACAATATAATAGCATGGTGCAGATGCGTAAAATATACATATTCATATGTGTAGTAATATATTAGTACCATGATTCATATGTGTGGGAATAATATAGAAGTTCTCAAATTCATGGCATGATGTAAATACATTGAGACATTTGTGATAGTGCTTTTATTCTTATTTGACATTAGGTAAACCAATTGATGCATTTATGTATTGTTTGTCTAATGTGTGAAAGTGATCTACAACCCAAAAGAAAATGGTATTCAGCCTCTATAGCTCCCGAGTTACATAGTTTACACAGTCTGTCTTTGCGCTCAGCACTGTTCATCCTACCGTTGCTGATTCTAGATGGAGTGTGCTGCAACGAAAGTTTGCCAAAATACTCCTGAATTTATTCATTTGTAATGAATTGTTGTACTCCTCAGTTTCAAATCTATGCTTATACAATTTGTAGTTTAGATGTATTATTATTTATGATTATTATTTATGAAGCTGACAGCTAGTGTATTGGGAAAATGGTTATCCTTTGCCACAAAACTCCAACTGCACGTTATGTTCAAATTATGTTATAATTAGTGCCTCGCTGAAATCGAAGGTCTATAACATACATGATTCTACTCAATTTAAACACTATTTTGGCAGTTTGATTCCGTGATTCCATAATACATTACATCTACTTTTTAAAAACCGCTGCCTAATACAGAAGCCTATCATGTTGCAAACATAAGTTATGATATCCTACTACAATAAAAACATAATATTGTTTGGTCCCTCAATGTGGTACCGACAACCCCTTGGACTGGTATGTGAGATTTATAATGATTATTTTACAAAGTGAAATTATTTTCCAATAATTTGACTAAATATTCATCTTAACGCTGGTCTTATTTTCCACAGCAACTGCCATAGTCAAGGGATCAAACTTAACAATTACACAAATCATAGTTCATTCAAAAAGTGCATAATGAGTCACATAACGAGACAGGAGTCATCAATAGCGAGTGTGACCACCCTGGGCATCCATACACGCCAATACACGTCATCAATAGCGAGTGTGACCACCCCGGGCATCCATACACACACGTCTCTTCAATGACGTCGTCTGTCGGCGGATGTCGTCTGTCGTCGCCTGTTCCATATGTCCAAGGGAGTCTGTTTAAGTTCCTGTCGGTTCGCTGGAGGTGGTACACGCTGTCTCAGCTGACGATCAAGATGATCCCAGGGATATTCAATGGGATTCATGTCTGGAGAAGACTCTGGCCAAGGCAATACGTTGAGGTTAACGTTGTACAGGTTATTCCCGAACAATCTGGCGGTGTGAAGCCATACGTTGTCGAGTTTGCAAATCCCTGTATCGCCGGGCATTTAGTGAGGTTTGGCGCCAGTCGTCCTCCTCTGTGTCCAAAAACTCAAACTCTTCCATCGTTTCTGAACCGACTGAACCGACTTTCATCTGTAAAGAGCACTGTCTGCCAGTCACGTCGCTGCCGGCGACGTACAGTTCGTTCCCATTGATGTCAGCGTTGACGGTGTAGACAGGTCAATGCCATTCCAAGGAAGGGTCGGTATGCTCGTATACCAACCATACCAAGCTGTCGAAGGGCTGTTCGTCTGCTGATGGCGTGCCCTAGTGCTGTCGTTACCGTCACGAATCTGCCGGATGATATGGTTTTCAGCCGGTGTCGTGACTCTTCGCCTTCTCGCCCTTGGGCGGTCTTGAGTCTGGCCTGTTTGCAGGTAGCGGTTTATCATTTGCTCATGGTGGCCTGGCTGCAGTTGAAAGTTCTTGCCAACTGACGTTGTGAAGCCCCCATATTGGCCATACTGATCACCCTGTCTCGTCGCGCTTGGTTTGGGGGTTACTGCATGCTTACTCTGTCCAACATCGGTATTTATGCCACAACCATGCACGTGGATTTGGACCACAATTACGTTTTTTGACGTTTTGAAAAATGCGTGATTCGTAAGAAGTTTTTGGACAGCTGTGTTGCTATCGGGATGATGTTCCGTTTACATCTAAAGTCACATAAGGACCAGCATTTTGTGTGGTCACTCTAGATACCCTCTCTCTGCCTAGCCCCTGTGGATTACTGTTGCTGACAAGGGAATATCACCACCGTTGTCTTTATTGCACCTGTATATGTATATTGCAATTGTATTTTGTACTGCCATAGTGATATCTGTGTATTGATTCGTATTTGATTTGTTAAATTACATGTAGTTCTTTCCAGAATACAATTAGTTTTTACAGTATAATGTCTTTGTTGTGTGTTAATTTCATACATACGTCTCCGAGCCAACACGTAATCTCATGAACATTAATTAAGGAGCACTTGAACTCAAAGACAATTATTAAAAGTTTGTTCTGGAAGCCATGGAGTCGAATGTTCACGTGCTGCGAAAGCGACAATGTCATTGGGATAAAACAAATATTCCTGTAGCATGTTTTCTGAAAAGATTCGAAAGACGACAGAACTAAACATTAACATTTCTTGACAGTTATTCCACTGCCTCAAGACACGAATTAGATTATCAGGAACTGCTTTCAAAAGTGGTTTGAATCCTATCTTCATCATAGATGCCAATCAGTGGTCATCGATAAAGCCTCATCAGACCCAGTTCCCCTTAACTGCGGCGTACCACAGGGTTTGATCCTTGGACCGATCCTATTCACCCTGTATACAGCTTCTGTTTGTGATGTCATCGATGCCCACGACGTTGCTTATCACTCGTACGCTGACGACACACAGCTACACAAATCATTTCTAGAACGAGATACCTCTACAGCACTTAGTGACCGTGAACACTGCACGTATGCGATAAAATCCTGGATGGTGACTCCAAACGAAAATCTATCTCTGAATCTTTGCTTCGTATTGGTGACTTATCAATACCATTCTCTGATGCAGTGAAAGATCATGGTGTCTTTCTATGACAGTGGACAAGCATGTAGAGCATACCTGTAGAATCTGCTTCAACCACCTGTGAAGTATTGGCCTCATTAGACATTTGTTGACTCAGAAGCTACTAAACCAAACCAAACCAAGGGCACCGAGAACAATGGGGAGCCTGGCAACAGTGTACTTTGGATGCAAGCGAGACATTTCAAAGGCGAGGTCCGCATATTTATCATGCTTTTTCTGAATCTTGCCAATCACGTTGCTGTCAAAGGGGACAGAGAATTCAATGATATAAATAAATTAATTTCCTTTATCTAAAAGGACAAGATCAGGTTTGTTGGCAGGATTTCTTCTGAGGCTGTATATAGGCCTATTCCACAAAAGTTTAAAAGCATCATTTTCCATGACGTCCGGGACATGTTCAGGGTCGTACCATGGATGGACCTCGGAGTCAAAGCCACAGGCATGGCGGAGATGATAGTAAAAGCAACGAGCCATGCTATTATGTCTTTTAAGATATGCTGTTTGTGCCAAAGAAGGGCATCTACTGACAAGGTGTTGGGTAGTCTCTGTAAATTCGTTACACAGTCGGCAATTCATGTTAATATTTGGCGATTAAGAGTGGGAAGTGACTGTTCCTGAGCAGCAAAAAAGGAAGCCCTCAGTTTCACATTTGAGACCAGCCGACTTCATCCAGGCGAAGGAGTCGGTTGGATTCCAATTCTGTTCCACACACTGCACATATACACGATGCAGTGGTTTCTCAGACAACTTCTCCACAAATGACCGACTCTGGTCAGACTTGGTGAAGGGCTTCACCTGGTTTACTCCCATCGCTGTACCATCCAACAGTACATCGCCATCAACAAAATCAACATTAAATTTCAGATTCTGTCCAACAACCTTGGCACGCTTAAAACAGCTGTGGAATTCCTTGCTTTTATCATGTGTCTTGACATGCATCACCAGAGGATCATCTGATAAATAAAAAAAATGTACACAAAAGAATTCTATCAAGAAGAGCCTCCACATTACTCAAACCCCGACCTCCACAATTGATTGGCATACATAAACGATTGAGAGAGGAACGAAGGTGGTGGCTCTGTTACCAGACCTGATCCTTCTGGTCAGGCGGTCAAGACTCTGGAAATCTTGTTTAGTCCAGTCAACTACTCCAAAGGAATAAGAAAGGACTCGCACAGAAACGTATTGGTGGCTTTGACCTTGTTTCGAGCATTTAGCTCTGAGCTCCAGATTTTCTTTGTACTCGGCCCGAAGTTTGTCTTGAATTTGGGCATTCTGGAGCTTGACTCGAACTTGCATTCCAAGATAGGTGTAGGCCTGATCTTCCACAAGATGCACAATAACTCCTCCCCCTTGTAACTTGACCGATCTACCATTAACTACCTTGCCTAGTTTCAGATGAAGAGTATTACATTTGTCGAGTCCAAATGCCATGACAATATCATTAGAAAAGGACTATTATTATTAAGGCAATGACTTACTCTACAGAAAATAGACGATGGGAATTTATTGGCATACAAGACGTAGGGATGTTCTGTCGCAGCATCGGTGCTAACATGAACATTAACATTGGGGTAATGCTATTTTTCAGGGCATTATCATTTGCAGAAGCCCGAGGTCTTTCATTAACTGCCCGACGAAGAAAATTATAGCTTTACAAAATTAGCGGTAACGTTATAATTGTCATCGTCGGGCAGTTAATGGAAGACCACGGACTACTGACCTAGAAGGAGGAGGAGGGTCAATGACCTAATTCGGCTCCGTACCGAAAACTTTTGCCGGTAGTGAAGAGTCGGACTTTCCACCAGAAAGATTCTGAGGGAACGTCGTCCGAGGAGACTGTTTTCCTCATACTTATAAACCTATGGCCAATTTTGTCTATTGTTCTTGCAGTTGCTTCGCATTATGGAATAACCTCGGTAGAGGTTTTACGATGATCTTTGTAATACCTCGCAGGAGGTTTTACAATGACCGTTGTAATACCTCATACGAGGTACGAAGTTTTACAATGGTCGTTGTAAAACCTAATACCCTGATGACTGACCGTAAAATTTCTAATTATTGAAAACTTCCAATATTTTTTGGCGATAACTGGTTTCGAACCCACAACCCATCGCTTTCTAGCTTGGCGGTTTTATCCACTACGCTACGAAGGATCGCTGTGAGGAATGAGATTGTTTGTCAGTATGAACCATGTGTTTCTCACACGACAGGTACTGCGGGCAGCGCACGTGCAGGACACGGGTAGCGCGTGCAGGACACGGATTGCGCGTGCGGGGCAAGGTGTTGGCTGCCAGTCGCATCCCAGTTGACACCGGCTGTTCCATCATTTGCGGGCTGTTCCATGAATGTTGTCCTACTCAGTACATGCACAAATTGAAATTAAGTGTTGTCTTAAACGGTTTATAAGTAAGATAAAACACTCCTCCTCGGTTTTGGTGGAGATTGTAAAACCTCAGTGTCAGGAAATCGCGCCCTCGGGATTTCCTTCCCCTGAGGTTTTACAATCTCCACCAAAACCTCGGAGTCGTGTTTTATCCTATACATAGACACACGCAGGAACGTCCAGCGTAGTCCAGGCTCCGAGAAAACCGCAACTTGAAGGCATGGGATAGGGTTCATTGGTCTGTAGGTTGTGAAGACGTCGTAACGAGGCATATCACTTGGACATAATACATGCTGCCGAACCCTTTTTGGGTGACTCAGTGACTGGGTGGGGTTACGTTTCGTATGACATCAAGTTGGATCTGATTACAGTACCTGTGACACTCAGTGGTCATCGTTATCAACACGAGGTATGCATGACAACAATGATGGATGACACCACTAGACCTCTCTTTTCTCGAGCCATCATCTCCCATTTGCAGAACAAGCCATCGCAAAATTACTATTGCCCGCATGGAGACCTGATATGAACTCATCGAACATCCTTGGGGCTCTCTTTGGCGTCTAGTTTGAGCTAGAGAACTTCCTATCCAAAATCTCCAGGAATTGTCGCAGGCACTCCATGTTTAGGATTCCGATACTAAGAATTCGACGCTTGATTGTCGGTGAGAGGAGGCGACTGGTTGCTGTCAGTGAAGGGGGTGGCTAAACCAGGTACTAATGTGGTTGCCAGTGGTTTTTCATAAATCACAGCATTTAACATTTGAGAACTTAGGGATAGTCACATTGGTGGAGTAGCCTTAATGGCCATACTTCCCGGCCTTGCTGATATTCACGTGTTTGAGTATTCCTCTCAGATTGCGAGTAAATTAATATCATCTTTTGTTTTTTTGTTTCAGTTATAGTAACATGTGGTACAGTTTCCATTCAAATATATTTTCAAAATGTACAGGACAAGTGTTTTGTACTTAATTTTATATTATGTCAGTGGTGTTGGATTTATGGTCATGTACGCAGTGCCAGGTATTGGTTTTGTTAATGAATTTGTTATGATAAAACACTGATCAGATTATATGTTGTGATCTACCAAAAAACAAACAAAAAACCTATGTCACACCACTTTATATGCTACTTCTCCCCGCCAGTGTATAATGTGACTGAGACATAGATGTCAGGTGAAATTGGGTTTAACGTCGTACTTATATTTAGCGCATATGACGACGTGCATGCGTGTGTATGTGTATGTGCGGCTGCTTGTACTAGCCCAGACTTAAACTGGTTTTATAATGCTAGCCCACTGAGATACCATGCCGCAGTGAAGCATGATACCCCACTCAGGCGCATTATACTGACTCCGAGCCAACCAGTCCTTGTTGTACCCATTAATGCCGAGCGCCAGACAGGGACCATATTTTTACCGTCTTTTGGTATGACACTGTCGGGGATCGAACTCGCGACCTTCCGCTCTCCGGGCGGACGCTCTAACCGCTACACCACACCACGGAGGCGGTCGACTGAGAAATAGAAGGACGGTGACTGATGAATATTTTGTCTGTGGTACCTAGCGTTATTCACTTGAAAACACTACATTGACATGTTTGGAATCAATAAGTGATATTCTGAAGTTTGACTGAAACATTACTTTTATGCCTAGGATCCTGCAATATAGTAAGTATATTAGATTACACGCATTGATATATCTCATGTAACGTACGGAGAGATGCTTCAAAGTTATGAATATGTTCACTCAGACGTCACCCCCCCTCAGTGTCACGGAATCATATATGCTATTCTTAGAACTATTAATACATCACTCTTTTCTTGATTAGGTAGGTTCATATTGTGAAAAGAATATACGTAAAATAATGTTGAAGATAAAGTAAAATAGGAAAATATACCTGGAATACGGTAATACCCAGAGACTTAACAATGAAAAGAGATGCAAATGCGTGCCTTGAGTATCCTTGTTACATCAGTACTGAAACAGAGCCATTGTTTACTGTTTATTTCAAGATAGCTGTGACGTTGCATACTCATGATGTAGTTATATGTTATGATTAGTATTTTCCTTGCCAGTGACACGTGGGTATACCCCAAATGCAACAGTTACTGCGGGAAGGGATGCTGTGTTAGTCTGCAATGGAGAACCATCAGACATAGGCAGCTGGTATAAAGTTGGCTACAGCAAGTATATTGCGTATATATATGAAGGGCCAGGAAACTGCACGTTCCGCTCGAACCAATCTCTGCCTGGCCTGGAATTAGGAAGTTCAGACTGCAGAAAACATGCTCTCAGGATCTCAAACATCAGCAAGATACATGAGGGACGGTGGAGGTGTACGATCACAATTGGTGAAGAAAGGGCTGTCAATGTTCATGTTGTGGCATCACCTGCAGGTACTATACAACGGTCCTTTGCGTAAAAGATGCTAAATCAATTCAAGTACCCAATAAATCCTCAGCAGTATATGTTTGCAGTTAACCAGTCATGTTGAAAATTTCATGTCTTTATACTCTGTGGGGCTATGTCCAGGACGGATGTACAAGTGTTGTATGGTGTACTTGTAATACTTGCCTCAAACAGCATTACACATCAAGACACACAGCACAACACACAGCACAACACACAACACAACATACAGCACAACACACAGCACAAAATACAACAAACACAGAACAACACACAACACACACAGCACAACACACAACACACAGCACAACAAACAGCACACACAGCACAACTCACAGCACTACACACACAGCACAAAACACAACAAACACAGCACAACACACACAACACAACACACACTGCACAAAACACTCAACACACACTGCACAAAACACATGAAACACAGCACAACCCCCACAACCCAGCACAACACACAACACACAGCACAAAACACAACAACCACAGCAAAACACACAACACACAGCACATCACACAACACAACACACAACACACACAGAATAACACACAACACACACAGCACAACACACAGCACAACACATCAAAACACACAGCACAACACACAACAAACAACATAACACAGCAAAACACAGCAAAACACACAGCAAAACACATCAGAACACACAGCAGAACACACAACACTCACAGCATAACACATCAAAACACACAGCACAACACACAGCATAACAAACAGCACAACAAACAGCACAACACACAACACACAGTACAACTTAAAGAACAACACACAGTACAACACACACAACAACACACAGCACACACAGCACAACACACAGTACAACTTAAAGAACAACACACAGCACACACAGAGTACACCACACAGCACACCGCACACAGCACAAAACACAAGAAACACAGCACAGCACACACAGCACAAAACACAACACCAAAAACAAAAACAGCACAAAAACACAACACACACACAAAACACAAGAAACACAGCACAACTCACACCACAACACAGCACAACAGATCAAAACACACAGAAAAAAATAAAAGAACAACAGGAAAATACACAACACACAGCACAACACATACCACACACAACACACACAGCACAAGACAAAACACAACACAAAATACAGCACAACACACTACACACACAGCACAACACATCAAAACACACAGCAGAACACACAACACACACAGCACAACAAACAGTGCAACTCAAAGCACAACACACATCACACAAAGAGCACAACACACAGCACAGCAACAAAACACGACAAACACAGCACAACACACACAGCACAAAACACACACAAAACACACAGCACAACCCACACAGCATAACACAAAGCACAACACACTGCACACAGCACGAAACACAAGAACCACAGCAAAAACACAACACACACAAGCACAACAAACAACACAGCACACAGCACAACACAGCATAACACACAACACAGCACAACACACACCACAACACTCAACACAACACATGCATGCAGCACAACTCACGGCATAACACACATCACAACACACAACACAACACACAACACACAGCATTACACATCAAAACAACACAGCACAACACAGCAAAACACACAGCAAAACACATCAAAACAAAGAGCAAAACACATCAAAACACAGCACAACACACAACACAAATCATAACAAATCAAAACGCACAGCACAACACACAGCCAAACACATCTTAACACATAGCACAACACACACACACAGCACAACACATCAAAACACACAGCACAACACACAGCACAAAACACAACGCAAAACACAACACAAAACACAGCACACAGCACAAAACAGAGCACAATACATAGCACAACACGCAGCACAACACACAGAACAAAACACAACAAACACAGCACAACACACAGCCAAACACCCAACACAAAACACTACACACACAGCACAACACAAAACACAGCACAGAGCACAAAACAATAAAACACACAGCACAACACACAGCACACACAGCTGAACACACAGCACAACACATCAAAACACACAGCACAACACACATCACACACAGCAGAACACATAACATACAACACACAGCACAACACACAGTACAACTCAAAGCACAACACACAGCACACAAGAAGCGCAACACACAGCACAACGCACAGCACAAAACACAACGCAAAACAAAACACAGCACAAAACACACAACACATCAAAACACAGGAAACACAGCACAACACAGCTCAACACAACACACACAGAACAAAAAACAACACAAAGCACAACACACAACACAACACACAGTACAACACATCAAAACACACGGCACAACACGCAACACACAGCACAAGAAACAACACACAGCACAACACAACACACAGAACAACACACAGCATAACACACAACACACTGCATAACACACAGCACAACACACAACACACACAGCATAACACACAACACACACATCATAACACACAGCACAACACAACACACACAGCACAACACACCACACAAGACAACACGCAACACACAGAACAACACACAGCATAACACACAACACACATAGCATAACACATGGGCGGCCTGGCTAAGACGCCAGGCTAGTGATCCAGCGAGGTTGAGGTGCTGGGATGGAGCCCACCTGTGACCGGGTGTAAAAACCTTGGAGTCTACTTTGTGTGCAGACACTTTCAGTGTTGTCACAACCCCTAGTGTACAGTAAACATCCCTTTGCACACAGCACAACACATCCAAACACACAGCACAAAACACAACAAACACAGCACAACACACAGCCAAACACCCAACACAAAACACTACACACACAGCACAACACAAAACACACACATCACAAAAAACAACACAAAGCACAACACACAACACAACACACAGCACAAAACATTAAAACACACAGCACAACACACAGCACGCACAGCAGAACACACCTCACAACACACAGCACAACACATCAAAACACAGCACAACACACAGCACAAAACATTAAAACACACAGCACAACACACAGCACGCACAGCATAACACACCTCACAACACACAGCACAACACATCAAAACACAGCACAACACACAGCACAAAACATTAAAACACACAGCACAACACACAGCACGATACACAGCACAACACACAGCACAAAACACAACAAACACCCAACACAAAACACTACAACCACAGCACAACACAAAACACACACAGCACAAAAAACAACACAAAACACAACACAAAACGCAGCACAAAACATCAAACACACAGCACAAGACACAACAAACATAGCTTAACACACAACACACACTGCACGCACAACACAAAACAAAACACACAGCATAACACAGAACAGAACAACACACAACACACACTGCACAAAACACAACACAAAACACAACAAACCGCACAAAACACACAACACAATACACAGCACTCACAGCACAAAACACAACACACACAGCACAACACATCAAAACACACAGCAGAACACATAACACATACATCATAACACAGCAAAAGACACAGCAAAACACACAACACAACACATAATAACACACAGCACAGCACACAACACACACAGCACAACACAGGGCAGTACACACAGCACAGCACACAGTATAACACATACAGCACAGACAGCATTACACACAGCACAAAACACAGCACAACACACACAGCACAACAAAAAGCAAAAAACACAATACACACAGCACAACACATCAAAACACACGGCACAACACACAGAAGACACAGCGGAACACGCAGCACAACACACAACACACGGCATAACACATCAAAACACACACAGCACAACACATCAAGGCACACAGCACAATAAACAGACACAGCACAAAACACAACACACAGCACAACACATCAAAACACACACTGCACAACATATCAAGACACACAGCACAATAAACAGACACAGTACAACACACAACACAAGACATCAAGACTGAGCACAATAAACAGACACAGCACAACACATCAAAACACACAGTACAACACACAACACACGCAGAACAACACATCAAAACACACAGCACAACAGACAGAACAAACAAAACACACACATCACAACACACAAAATACACAGCACAACACACAACACACAAAGCACAGAACACAGCACAACAAAACAGGAAAACACACGCAGCACAACACACAACACAAAGCATAACACATCAAAACACACACAGCACAACACATCAAGACACACAGCACAATAAACAGACACAGCACAACACACAACACACAGTACAACACATCAAAACACACACTGCACAACACATCAAGACACACAGCACAATAAACAGACACATCAAAACACACATCACAACACACAGCACACACAGTACAACACATCAAAACACACAGCACAACAGACAGAACAAAACACAACACACACATCACAACACACAAAACACACAGCACAACACACAACACACGCAGCACAATACGCAACACACACATCACAACACACAGCACAGCACACAACACGCACAACACAGCACACAACACACACAGGACAACACATCAAAACACACAGCACAACACATCAAGACACACAGCTCAATAAACGGACACAGCACAACACACAACACACAGCACAACACATCAAAACACACAGCACAACACATCAAGACACACAGCAGCACAACACATCAAAACACACAGCACAACACATCAAAACAGACAGCACAACAGACAGAACAAAACACAACACACACTTCACACCACACAAAACACACAGCACAACACATCAAAACAGACAGCACAACAGACAGAACAAAACACAACACACACAGCACAACACACAAAACACACATCACAACATACAACACACACAGCACAGAACACAGCACAACACACAGGAAAACACACAGAATAACACACAACACACAACATAACACATCAAAACACACAGCACATCACATCAAGACACACAGCACAATAAACGGACACAGCACAA